TTACTCCACACAGAGCCTAATAATAGTCCCTCCAAAACCAAAAACAATAATAAATTGGTCATTTTCAATCTACGACTGTTTGTGGGACATTGCTGTGCGCAATTGGCTGCCGCGTTCGCCCACAAATATACAGTCAATTCACTTTACAGTCTATTCTGTGAAGCGCTTTGGGACGTCCTCCCGACGTGAAAATGCTATATCAAATGCAAGGATTATTATTATTATTATTATTATATATATACGCACTGTTGTCAGCTCCATTTTTTTGAGCTATTTCTCTAGTTCCCTTTTTGAAAAAAACTGGGACAGATTGGGTCTCGACCGCGGCTCCCGGCACATCATCATAATAACTATCCTCGCGCTTTCGATACAGCGTCTCACCACGTCTTCGAGGTGCCGCAAAGTGCTTCGCGGGATACACTGCACAGTGGAGCGACTGTGCACTGTGTGAGCGAGACAGTAAAGCAGCTTCTGAAGGAGGGCGATGGGATAAAACCTTGGCATCGCCTGCTTTTTGTTTTGGAAGTGAACTTGTAACAATTCAGCAACCAATATTTCATCCCGAGCCAAGACAGTTTCTTCGGCTTCGGGTGCCCTTCGACCGAGCAGCGGGTGTGTAATGAGCAACGGCTCTTCTCCACACGCGTGGTTCAGTGCCGAAGGCCGGAGCTTAATTAACAGGACACGAAACAGAGACAACACCGAGTATTTCTCTTGGTACGTCCGTCTGTCGGCAAACTCGGAGAAACCATGAAGTCCTCCGACGTGTCAGGGAAGGAGCTCATGTGCTGTCTCCCCCCAAAATATTGTTCTCTAAAAGAAATCCGACTGATTTGTGATCGTATGAGGTGAGACTGGTGATCTCGGGGGTTGGGAGGGTGTGTGTGTGTGTGTGCGTGTGTGTGGGTGTGTGTGTGTGTGTGGGTGGGTGGCTGGGTGGGTGGGTTGGACGTGCGGAGTGTAGAAAGAAACACTGCCCCATATTGTGTTCGGTCCTTTTCAATATTCATGATTAGTTTGCCACGAGCCACACGTCAGCCTCTCACTTTGCTCAACAAACCCTTTGTGTCCAACTCCCGGAAGGCGACAGGAACAGCCATTCATTGGGAGCGTTCATCCTTGATTGTTGCCAACGCCAACCACATTCTTGTTACCCAAAGCGTCACTGACTGTTTGACCAGTTGACCCGTCGCAGGCAGTGACTGAATCAAGCGCTATATTTAGTCAGTGAAAAAAAAAGAATCTGTTACGCAGAGGGAGTGCTCTGATCTAACTGGGTAACAACCGCAACTCGAAGGCTAGCCGGCGCTCTCTCTCTCACTCCACCGGGTTTAACGGCGTTCTCTGAACTTGTGCGTCTTTTTTTTTTGGGGTGAGATCTGGCTGGGAAGAGGGAGAGCGGAGATCGATATCATTTTTTTGGGGGTCAGTCAGAAACCCATCACCTCGCCGAAGAGTATCCGAACCAAGCTGACAGCTCCTTAATCATCCTTGCATTTGATACAGCGCCTCATCACACCACTGGGACGCACATCTCAAAGCGCTTCACAGGCTATGCTGTAAAGTGGATTGACTGTGTATTTTGTGGACGAAATGCGACACAGCAGCGTCCCAACAAACAGTGGGTTGAGTGACCAATGTGGAAGAAGCAGTTGGGTTTTGATCAAGTCAAGAGGGACTGATTAAACCTCCCGTAGCTTAATCCTGGTTGCTTTGAAGTCCCGGGAAAGCGAAGCGACATTTGCGGTCCTCCGAAGAAAACTCGGAACACGTTGGAAAGTCGGCAGGAAAAAATCGCATTTTATTTCAAATTTCGCGCACGCACACTCCCCCCCAAAAAATATATATATAATCACACTCAAACCTCACCTGTGTGCGCTAAATAAACCAAACTCAGAATCTCCGGCTTAAAACCGGGGGCATTCACAGTGTCTCACAGGCTCATGCACGCGGGAGACCCTCACAGCGGAGACGTTACCCGCTTACTTAATTCCGGAAAGTATTAGGCGCAGGTTGGCGAGAGCCAAGGTTTGGTGGGGGGGAGCCCAGAGTGTGTGTTGGGGGTAACTGCTGGATTCGAACCGGCTAAACTGCACAGCTTGCCATCGAGAGCGCTGTCTGGCCAGCTTTCCCGCTGCTTGTCCAGCTCGGACCCACCCTAACCCATTAGGGCTTCGGCTTGCAGCGTTGCCAGGAGCTGAGCGGGATGATTCCCTGCCTGCGGTGACCGGGCTGCCGATGCGCCAGGCTGGGCTGTCCCACACGACAGATTAGGTCATCAGATTGCCAGAGACCTGATCCCTCCTGAACCCTCAACTCTCAGCGTTCCCCCATCACAGCATCGAGTGCCGTTTTATAATGAGTCCCAGTGTCCTGGCCTCAACCATCCTTTCCTGGCAAACCTGTTCCAGTCGTTAATTACCCTCCACTGCGTAAGGGAAATAATTCCTGGTGTCGTTCCAAAATTGCCACTAAATTAGTTCGAGGGTTCGAGTGGAACTAACGGGGTCTCAGTTTGCAAGTTGGGTTAAACCCTGTGCAAACTCAGCATCTGAGCACACACTTCCAGCTCCGCTACTTCCCCTCCCGAGGAACGAGCCGATTTAACCAGGATACTTGCACGGATCCTGCACAAGAACCGGCTTCGAACCTCAGTCTTTGCGGTTTTCCGAAGTTATCATTCACGGCAGTGACCACGTTTCGAGTGTGGAGTGAAACCAAACAAAACACAGCAGCGAAAACTAACAATACAAACATAACCCGTAATATTACTTTAGAACCGCAAACAAACAAACAAACAAACCAACAAACTCCGGTTTACAACGTACAGAACGGGGGGTGATGGTGGTGGTGGGCGGGGACGGGGACGGAGGGGGTTGGGGGGAGAAATGCAAGACATTTTCCTAGTCTATACCTTGAGAAATTTTTAATTTCTTGTAACATCGGGGATTGTGCTTCCGAGACGTTCTCTCGACGTAAAAATTTTAAATCCTGTTGTTGTCCTTTTTTTCCTTCGATGTACACAACAATATAATAATCCTTGCGCTTGACAGAGAGCCTAATCACGTCGCTGAGATGTCTCAAAGCGCATCGCAGGATAGACTGCGAAGAGTGTGGCAGAATATATATATATAAATATTTATATAAATATGTGCTCGTTTGTGTGTGTACAATACACCACTAAAAATTTAAAAGTATAATTCATGACAAATGCTTCGGGGACCCACTGGTCACGCGTGAAGCTGTTTGTCGATTTCCAAGTTTAAAAATATATCGGCGCCTCCCAATTTGACGACAGCATCCGTGCAAGATAGTCAAGAAGCTCCCGATAGCTCGTCACTGCTCCGAGGGAAAAGGGCTCAGCGACGAGTTATCAGGAGCAGGTGAGTCAGACGCGGGTATAAATGCGACCCGGATACTGACAGCGCGATGACTTAAGTTGCAGTGACAAGCAACGACAGTTATCAGGAGTTGATTGTACGCGTTGAGGGTTTTAAACACCTTTTTTTTGCTGGGGGAGTGGGAGTGGGAGTGGGAGTGGGAGTGGGGCTGGGGTGGGGGGGGGGATATCAGCCGAGTGTCTGACGCAAGCAATTTTGTGGTGTCGAGAGTCGATCACTAAAGATGATCCATCCAAAACTAAGATGTTGTGATCCATTATGATCGGACCCCCAGTTCAATGCTTCGCTGCACTGGAGCGTCAGCCGAGATTGCGATCATAATATATTTTCGTGGAGGAAGAGAGGGGTCGTGGAGGAGGAGAGAGGAAGAGAGAGAGAGAGAGAGAGACAGAGAAGCGAGTTGAATTGCAATTTATATTTTTCACCTTAATTTTGTTTTGAAATGCCATTAGCGTTCGGTCCGAAGGTTCGTTGCCAGAATGGGGAATGTACAGAAAGAGGAGTCTTGAGACCGTTTTAAAGACGGGAGGGACAGAAAGCATTTTTTTAGTGGTGGGTGGGGTGGAGGGGGCATGGGTGGAGGGGAGGGGAGGTGGGGGCGAGGGGAGGGGAGGGATTGAGGTTCGAATAAAAATGTCCCTATCTTTGCCCCGGGCTTCTCTCTCTCACTCCCCGTCCCACTCCAGACCAGGCGGCATATATATATTTAAGCCTTAATATCTCTTCTAACCTCTCGCCCTGTTGAGCCTTGATCTCGGCAGCTTTCGAAGCCCTCTGAAGGAGATGAAGATGGTGAAGGCCTTCCCTTTGCTCGCAGGAACACAGGACCGGCCTTGGATGAAGAAGGTTGTCCAACACTGACCTTAAATGTTTGGAACCTATTTTCCAAGTCAATGTGGCTATTCTCTCTCTCTCTCTCTCTCTCTCCTTCTCTCTGTGTGCGTGGCTCTGGCTCAGAACACTGCTCAGCAGGGATTCGGGCTGCTCTCCTCAAATGAGGAACCTCCGTGCAACGAAAACCAAAGGGAAGCCATATTTTACTGACAGGCAGGTAGGACCCTAAGTGTAGCGACACAAGTTGGGGCTTCTGAGAGGATTCGGCAGCTGCCCTGAGCTGACTTGTGTCCACGTTCCTCGCTTATTGCTCGGTAAACAGAGGCGCGCGCGTGTGTGTGTGCGCGGGGATGGAGTAAGGAAACTTGCCTAAGGTCTCGCCCCACCCGGGAATCAAACCCAGGTCCTCTCGCTTGAGAGGCGAGCTCTCCAACCCACTGAGCTACAGGTGTACTCCTTCTCCGAAGGAGTCTCATTGGGATGGAGGGAAACCTCGTTGGGAGGCGTGTGGAGGGAGGAGGAAAGAGGGAATCGGTAGGATTTGCTGCGGTGGAAAAATTCAGTGCAGGGCCAGTGACGTATTGCTCTCGAGGGGGCGTGAAAGCATGGAGGAGCTTTACAGAGTTCAAAGGAGCCTTAAGCTCGAGTGTCGACGGATTGGGTTTCATTTCGACAGAGAAAAAAAAGCAAAAATACCACGTCTATAATCAAGTACAACCTCTCTCTCTCTCTCTCTCTCTCCCTCTCTCCCGTGCCCCCTCTCTCCCTCCTCGCCCTTGTTACGATTCCTTGGAATAACTATCCTCCTCGTCGCTGATGTGTTGCTTCTCCTCGGACACGCAGCTCTCGTCGATCTTCTCCAAGGAATCGGCGTGTTGCAGGGAAAGCTCGGACAGGCAGACGGTGGGCAGGGAGTTCTGCTCCGGGTAGAGCCAGGGCTTGTAGTTGGGGTTGTGTTTGTGCTTCCACTCGGGGTATTTCAGACAAGCTTTGTAAATCTTCTTCATTGCCTGAAAGAGACGCAAGTCATGGGTTCAAGCCCCCACTTCTGGAGTTGGAATCACACACAGTCTAAGCTGAGGCTCCAACACAGCGCTGGAGGGGTGGGGGCGGGGGGGGGGTGGGGTTGGGGGGGCTGGGGTGGGAGTGTGTTGCATTGTCAGAGACACCGTCCTTCGGGTGAGACGTTAAACCTCACTCCCCGTCTGCCTGTTCGGGTGGACGTTAAAGATCCCGCGGGGCTGTTGGAAAAAAAAGGGAAGTTTCTCCCTCTCTCTCTCTCTCTCTCTCTCTCCCTGTGACATTCCCCCAAATAAAATTGGTCGCTCGCTCCACAGCAGTTTGTAGGATGTTGCCGTGGGCAGTTGTGCCGCTCGCGATTGCCTACAAACAGAGTCCATTTCACGGTAGATCCCCTGAAAGGGTTTGAGATGTCCTTCCGATATGAAAGCTGCCGTGTTAATGTAAGTCGTGTTGCACTGTGATTAACACTGGTTACCTTCGTCCGGCTGATTGATTGCCTCCCAATATCTCGCTGTAGGCTTTACAAACCCAAGGGAAGAGAATTACCAAGGGGACACGACCTACTCACCAACACGCCCAGGCTTACCTTCGGGCCGACAAACTGAGAAACTTTATTCACCACCCACTTCGGCAACGACCCTGCAAAGTATGTCAAAAAAACAGAAAGGGGCCCAATTTAGCACAATATGTATCAACGACGTGATAAGGCGCTCTATGAAATGCAAGGATTATTACTATTATTATTACGATGATATATTCTGAGGCAGAACTCAGGGAAACAATGAGAGAGGGTGTCTGACACGCACGGAAACCCATCACCGTTGCTGAAGAGTCTCCAAACCCAACTGAGGACTCCGTGTATCCCAACCACACGTGGAAATCCCAGAGAGAGATGGCGGGAATGGAAGGCGCTCTCTCTCTCTCTCTCTCTCTGGAGGGACGTAACCTGTTTACCTAATTCCACAGAGTCCATCCCTGCAGGTCAACAACCTACCTGAAAGGTGTGCGCTCGGCGAAGGCGGCACATCTACCCCTTGTGGGCACGGGCGGTACAGCAGGGCGCCAGCAACACAAGCAAGATACCCACGAGACGTAATTTGCCGGATTCCCGAAAGGATTCCCAATAGCGATCCCCGCACACACAAGCCACGCGTTAGTGGAAGGTGGACACCGGGGCTGACGTTCTCCGAAGCTGATTCTGACGATGCTGCCCCTTGTAAGTAATCCCCTTCTGGTCTCCCCGCAGGTTCTGAACCAATTTTTTTTTAGTAAACCATTTGTTTCGTAACGCTTCTGGCATTCATTCACTTAAAAAAGGCTATACACTGACCTCGGGGGTCCAGCTGGGTCAGGTAATACAAGGTGCAGCTGTTGGCTCCGTTTGACTTCATCAAATAGCCCGTCTGCAAGGAGACGGCTCGGACAATGTCTTTCTTGGGCGGATATTTCTGTGAAGACAGAGAAGAAGAATAAACGCCAATCGGAAAAATCCCTTTAGAAAAACGGCCCCGATTTAGATTTCTGCGCTGCGGACACGGGAGGAACCAGTGGACTTTAAAGACCTCGTAGGGCTTTCGAAAAGAGAAGGCCCTTTTTCTTTCTTTCTCTCTCTATCTCTCTCTCTCTCTCTCTCGTCTCCTCTCTCTCCCTCTCTCTCTCGGTGTCCCGGCCGACAAACCCACCGATAAAATTGGCTGCCGCGTTAAGTCTACGAAAGGCACAGTCAGTGTTCTTCACAGTAAAGTCCTGCGAAGCGCTTTGAGGTGCCTGGACGTCGCGACAAGGGGCTGTACCAAGCGCGGGGGTGGGTATTGTTATTAATCCATTAATACTCACGGGATGTTTCACCGAGTAGTTGACGATTATGTAATCTTTGCCCAGAGGAAGCCAGGAACGCAAGGTCACAAAATCTCTGTTCTTCAACGGACTCGGACACTTCCCTGAGGGAAGAGAAGGAAAGACGTGCGTGAGCGTACTTTAGTGCGGCAAGTTGGTCATCGATGGCAAGATGGGCGATTTTAGCCGGTCAGATTCCAGCAGTTACCCCAACGCACACTCTGGGCTCCCCCCCACACACCCCCCAACCAAGCCTTGGCTCTTGCCAACCTGCGCCTGATACTCTCCGGAATTAGGCAAGCAGGATGTGTCCGTCCAGGCAGTGAGTGTGCGCCATTCCACGTGGAGGTGGGACGCACGGAAATCTCCGCTTGGTTCGGACACTCTCGAACGACGCTGATGGGTGTCCGCGTGTGTCAAGACGCCCGGCTGACCCTCCGCGAAAAGAAAAAGAAAATAAAGGAATGACTTCATGCCCCAGTGTTGTGGATTGAGAAATAATACGTACGCATCCCAGAGACAGCAGCTCAGAAAAGGCTTGAGGGGGGGCGGCGGGAAACATAAAAACTAATAATAATAAATTGGTCGCTTCAATCCACGGCTGTTTGTGGGGACGCTGCTGTGCGCAACTGGCTGCCGCGTTTCGCCCACAAAATAGAGTCAATTCACTTGACTGTGAAGGGCTTTGAGACGTCTCGAAGACGTGATGAAGCCCTGGTATCAAATGCAAGGATTATTATTATTATTATTAATATTTGGCCCATTCTGGCGGCACTTCTTTATTGCTTTTCCTTCAAACAGAAAACCCCTACAACAGGGGAGAGTCCTGCGCCAGCTAACTTGCCCATTCCCCCCACTCGAAGATCCGGCAAGGTTTGGGGGTCTTTATTGACGAGCGCGGGCGTGGGGTCTCTCTCTCTCTCTCTCTCTCCCCAGCCTCCCAGCCCTGGGTACCTACAGGAGTAATAGCCCACGTCTGCGTTCACGGTCAGCCGCCCGATGTCGAACGTCTCGATCATGTTGCTGTCCCACTTCTTCCTGTAGTTTGTGTCGTGCAACACGTCGTACAGAGTTTCTGCCGCCACGTCTTTGCAGTTAATCCTCATCTGTAACGAACCCCCAATACACAGAGAGAGCGGAAAGAGAGGGGAATACACGGAGACGTGTTACACCAACACCAACAACTACTTGCAATTCAGTGGCATCGATTATAATAAATGTATTATAATTTTTTTTGGGGGGGAGGGTGTTCATCTGGGTTTATCAGTCACTAGGGGTGGGGGCAGGGAATCCTCCTGCACTCAGCGCCTGTTAACCCTGCAAGGCAAGACCCTAATGGGGAGGGTGGTCCAGACAGGGCTCTCAATGGTAAGCTTCCCTTTACCTTTACAGTACAATGCCATCCAAAATGACATTTGTATAGCGCCTTTCCCATCTTGAGGGTGTCCCACAATCAATCAATCAATCAATCGATCGATCGATCGATCGATCGATCAATCGATCGATCAATCGATCAATCGATCAATAGATCAATAGATCAATAGATCAATAGATCAATCAATAGATCAATCAATCAATCAATCACCAACTGGAATTCAAATAAGATTACTATTACAGACCCTACTGACTGGTAAACCCGTCGGACAAAAATAATATGTTTATTATAATATATTTATTCGAGTGTGCAGACAGGGCGAAACCTTGGGCAGGTTTCCTTACTCCACACACCTGATAACGATCCCTCAAGAAAAATAAAAAGAATTATTCGGTCACTCGATCCACGGCTGTTTGTGGGGACGCTGCTGTGCGCAATTGGCTGCTGAGTTTCGCCCACAAAACATACGGTCAATTCAGTTTGCAGAGTATCCTGCGAAGCGCTTTGCGACGTCTAGAAGCACTATATCAGATGCAAGGATTATTATCGTTATTATCATTATTATATTTTAGACACGGAGCCAGGTCGAAATTTCTGGGCAACGGAATTATACTGACGGTAAGTGTCAGCCACGCGTGTAAAATAACTTCACGATTAGCTTTCTGTTGATAAACAGGCGGCTTTGAAATCTAAGCCAGTGCTATATTATCGCAGCACCAGCAGGGAGCAGGGTAATTAGAGCAGCCGCAAAATAGATCGTCTTGATGTAATTTACAGCCCCGCTGTGCTGTGTGCCTCTACACTGCTTTGATACGAGTCGATTGTAAAGTACATTACGTGCTGTAAAATAAATAAGCACCTCAGGACGTTTTCCCAAACTGCATCGTAATTGAGTCCGATTAACGAAGCCGGGTAATGATGATAATCCTTGCATTTGACGCAGCGCTTTATCACGCCTTCGAGACGTCTCAAAGCGCTTCCCAGGAGACACCGCAAAGTGAGGCGACTGTGCATTTTGCGGGCGAAACCCGACAGCGCGAACCATTCTTATTAATTCATGAATTAGACGTAATCGATGTATTAGTACTAACAAAGTAATAATCATCCTAACAGCCCTCGCACGTAACATAGCGCCTCATCACGTCGTTGAGAAGTCCCTCGGCCGCGTGATCTGTGGCACTGAAATATACTTAATGCGTCTCGAAATAACTGCGGTAAACACAACAACTTGAATTTATATAGCGTCCCCAGTTGTCCCCCCACCCCCACCCCTCCCTCCACCCGACCCACCATTGCAGGATAGCGTCCCAGACCATTTGACAATGGCCTGACACCACCTGAGTACCGCCCTTTCCCCTTGTCCTTATTGAACGTGCGAGGGTTGGGTTGGAGACCCCAACACTACACCATCAGGGCTGCCCCACTAATAAACATCTTAATTAAGAAATCCAGGCATCCGTGACTTAAGGCTTCTAACTTCACCAGCTTTCTGGCTAATGTGACATGTACCAGCGCTAATTTACCAGCTGGAGGAAGGAACCATGCTGACAGCTGGGTTCAGCCCTGTAATAATCCTGACTGTGGATTTCACACATGGATGGTGGCGACAGCAGCAATTAACTGCTTGGCGATCAGATCATCGGGGAGGGGGGGGGAGTTTCACCCACCCGGGTATGGTCAAAGTACATGAGAAGGTGGACAGATGGGCAATAGCATCAGCTTGCGGAATAAATAAACCATGATTCACACACACACACGCACACACACACACACACACACAGAAATAAACACACACGCGCGCGCACACACAAACACACACAGATAAACACACACGCGCGCGCACACCCACACACACAGATAAACACACACACACACACACACACAGATAAATACACACGCACACATACACAGATAAACACACACACACACATACACACACACAGATAAACACACACGCACACATACACAGATAAACACACACGTGCGCGCACACACACACAGATAAACATACACGCGCATACACAAACACACACACAGATAAACACACACGCACACACACACAGATAAACACGCACACACACATACACAGAGCTTGCAGTAGCACAATTTTTCACACATCAGTGTCACACAAACAGCCACGGAGCGAGTGATCACTTTTATTTGGGGGATTGTCGGCCAGGACACCTGAGAGGGAGAGAAACTCCCTTCTCTTTTCCAATAGCCTCGCGGGATCTTTAAGGTCCACCTGACGGGGAGTGAGGTCTAACGTCCCATCCGAAGGACTGCGTCTCCGACCATACAACACCCCCGCCCACCCCCAGCGCTGCGTTGGAGTCTCAGCTTAGACTGCGTGTGATTCCAAATCCTGACGTGGGGGGCTTGAACCCACAACCTTCCGACTCAGAGGCGAGAGCGAGAGCAAGAGAGAGAGAGAGAGAGCGCTACCAACTGCGCCAAGAACACGAGAAGAATGGGAAAGAAACAAAGTTTGTCGCCCGAAATAAACTGAGAGGAGGAGAGAGGAGACCGGGGCGGGGGGGGTGTGGGGGGGGGAAAAAATGCTTCGTAGATTAATTTCCTCTACATTAATATTCAAAAAGGGTTCGTTATATCGCGTCAGGCCACAGCCTGACCTCATTAGAGACGTGACAGAGATCGGTTTGCGATATCGGTGACCGGGGGGTGGGGGGGGGGGGGGGCCCACAATGCGAGCGAAACCTTAGAACCCGGGCACTTGAATGAACTGCGATGGGAACATGTATCATTGATGAGGCTCGGATAAGCCGTGACCCGAGTTGGCAGCTCCTCTGAAAGGAAACGTTTGCAGTGGCTCCTGTCTGCAATCAGCACCGCTTAAAATATTCAGTGGGGAGGTGGCGCGCGATGCGTAAGGACTCGCAGCGTGCATTCTCTTTGTGGGAAGGATCAACCGGACAGCTCCATCACTCACTCACTCTCCCCCCATCCCACCACCCCCACGCCCGTATGGCGGAAAGTAACGGGTGATTTGTTCCGATTGTGAATCGACTGGGGGTTCATTGTCACGGGGAAATGTAGGCCAGAGAGATCAGTCGAGTGAGCGAGCGAGCGAGCGAGAGTGAGTGAGTGATGAGTGCCTTTTATTTACCAGGGGGCGAAGAGGAGAAGCCGTCAGGAGAGTCTCTTTGTGTTACTGTCCTATTAATTTTCATGCACCGTTTGGGTTACAAGTGGTCTGAACGAATAATAATAATAATAATAATAATAATAATAATAATAATAATAATAATAATCCTTGCATTTGATACAGCGCCTTATTTACTCTGAAGTCCGGTGACTGTGTATTTTGTAGACCGCAACTGGGATTTGATGCAATCCTTACAGTCGATGGGTTGCCTCGGAACGCTTGCTTCACTGGCGATCAGTGGGTTTAAGTGTAGGTGACTGTGAGCCGCAGGCAAAAATCTCGCGTGCTTCAGCCTTGCGACAATACACCTCCTTCGGATGAGACGCTTCCGTGTTTAAGGCGAGACATCGGGAGAAGCAGCAGGACAACGTCTGGTGCCCCTTGTGCAGTCTGGCTCCAATCATTTTGAACCCTTTCCCTGCTCCTCGTGCCAGCAACGGGCTGTAGCTCGCTCCCGCCATGTTCTGCAGCGTAGCCCGTGAAGCGCTTTGAGACGCCTCGAAGACGTGATCAGGCGCTGTATCAAATGCCAGGATTATTATTATTAATGACAGTGATACGCGTCTCCTCACTGAGACAGCAGGGATCCTTGCCAACGTGGCTTTGGCTCACCCCGAGAGCTTGCCACTGCTCAAAAGGGAACTCGTGCCACGTTTCTAACAGGTCCCTAACAGGCGGTTTAAGCAGGGCTTGGCTGTCGAACAGAGTTCAGGGGCCAAGTCCCGTTAATTCCAACGTCCCGTAAGTGTTTCTGGTCAACGTTCAACAACCCACTTCAGCAATCTGTCAGACCAATGAAGATCAATATGCACTAAACACCAAAAGCTGTGTTCTGGGCAGCAAGATGTGCGTCTGATCTTTCCACCTCGGGATCGGTTTCAAAACGCTCTCTCTCTCCCTCTCCCACTCTCTTTCTCTCGCGTATACAAATCCCTCCACGCCGCAGCACCTCCCCACCTCTCCGACCCGCTCTATCACACTCCTCCGCACTGTTCCCCTACTCTCAGCTAACACGGACCTGTTCCCTCAATCCCTCAATCACTACTCATAATAATCTGATACAGCGCCTTATCAAGTGGTCGAGACGTCTCAAAGCGCTTCACAGAATACACTGTAAAGTGAATTGACTGTGAGTGGTGTGGGCGAAACCTGTAAGTTTCCACAGAACACAACTCGTCGACGGTTTAATAGGGAAGACCGGCCTCAGAACAATTACTCTTCTTGGGTTTAATAAAGCTATTGTTAGTTAGTTAGTTAGTTAGAGGCTCACTATGTACGCCTCACGGGCTTTGTGAAATGGCCCTGTTTGCCCCAGCAACAATCCACCTGCTCAACCTTTGCTACGCGTCCTCCTACAGGAATAATGGCCACTACATTCTTTCTTGTTGGCAGCAAATCAAGGCTGGTGTTCGCTGACGGTCAGTGCTTAACTAGCGCGAGATAAGGACACTGCGGAGAAAGTGCATTAGGGGATATCGAGAGCGAGCAATCAATTGGGATTAGGTTAGACTGGCTCCTTGTTGGAGCAAACCTAACAATAAGATGACAGGAAAACTCGCTGTAATTCGTAGAATCGCCTAAATCGTACATCTAATTCCACGGTCAATTCACTTTACGATGTATCCCGTGCAGCGTTTTGAGAAGTCTGAACGACGTGACAAGGCATCAAATTCAAGGATTATTATCATTATCTACACAACTTCTGTTGAATTTCCTATAACTGATGCAAATTTCACGTGACTCATACTTGGCATTAAGTCGTGTTAAATGCGTGGTTCCACCTGAGACGACTTACGTGAGGTTTATTGTAATAATTATTATTATTATTATTATTATAATAACCCTTGCATTTGATGCAGCACCTTACCAAGTCGTTGAGACACCTCAAAGCGCTTCACAGATTACATTGTATTTTGCGGGGTGGGGAGGGAGGGGGTGGGGGGGGGGCGAAACGTGGCTGACAGTTGCACACAGCAGCGTCCCCTTTTTTAAGAGATTATTAACCCCAGAAAGCCATCCGCTAATCCACTAACAACCGCTTTCCTGCTCGCTGCGAGGGAAACAGAGGCGTGTGCGCGGAGTAAGGAAACTTGCTTAAAGTTTTGCCCTGACCCGGGAATCGAACCCGGGCTTCTCTTGCTTGCGAGGCGAGGGCTCTAACCACTGAGCTACAGGACTCCACCGGGTCGATTGACCGGCTGTTGCATGATCGATCATTTTTTTAAAAAAAACAACCGGTGGGGCGGGGAAAGGGATTCAGATCAACTGTTATTCGGATCACCTCAAGTCTGTTTACCAGGAACTTGCGGTGCTCCAAACTGATGCGCGCAATAACGTTGGCCCTGCACCGTAATTCAGTGGCTTAGGGGAAGTTTGGATCTTATCCTCTCCCAAACACCCCCTCACAAAAAAGGCCTGGATTATTAGTATTGTTATTTACTATCATTGCTCCCATTCTAATCCGCGGAGAGAAAGAAAAGGGCTCTGCGTGCGTCACGGCGGGAACCGGACACCGCACTGCGTCTGGCGAAATCCGAGACCCGAGGTGTAAGGGTAAACTCGCGGACGGACGTCACTTTCCGTCTGGTGCAGTGTGATCGACCCCAGCAGCGCTCTGACACAGAAGCTGGGCTGAACCCGGCAGGAACTGGGTCAGTCAACAGAATGACGACTGTTTGTCTGCAGCCGTCCGATTGAAATCAAGGACGTGACGATGATGGCGGATTTTTGAACTGTTTTTTTTTGGGTGGGGGGGGAGGGGGTGGGGGGGGGGCGTCTGACACGTAATAACATCAGAACGTGAGAATCTATCCATCGCCGTCGCTTAAGTGCCTCCAAACCCGGCTGGGAACTCCGTGCGTCCCAACTTACCCAGAGATAAGGTCGTTGGAATGGAATCCGCACTTTAATACTGTAAGCTTTTTCACCCCCCGCAAAACTTTTTAACGCGGGGAGGTGGGGACGCATTCCGAGGCCAATCTCCGTCAATCAAACCCCTGGCCTTACCCGTGGCAATACTCCCTCCAAAAATAAATTTAGTTTTGATCACTCAATCCACGACTCTTTGTGGGGACGCTGCCGGGCGCAATTGGCTGCCGCGTTTCGTCCACGAAATGCCCAGTCACTACACTTTACGGTATGTTCTATGAAGCGCTTTGAGACATCTCAACGACACGATAAGGCCCTGTATCAAACTCAAGGGTTGCTTAGTATTATTCGAAGCAAATTTTGCCGCCCACGGATGTGTAAACGTGTACATGTGAACAAAATATACAGTCAATTCACTGTGAAGCGCTTTGAGACATCGTGAAGAAGCGATAAAGCGCTATATCAAGTGCAAGGATTATTTTTATAGGATTATCAATAAACATCTGCCCGGCAGAAACTCCCTTATCTTGTTCTCTATGACCAATTCTAACCCGAGTTAATTCTGTGAGCGGTTTGACTTATGTGGCAGTCTAACTGACGATCAAAGCCAGATCACGTCCCAGACGGAGCCTGTCCCTGGTTTGTACGGACGGGTTTAGATTTTAGTTCCAGATAGCTTAGACCGTTTCCAAACTCATGGCTGTTACATAACACCAGCAAATCCACCAGCAAACTTCACGTAACCCAGCTGACACAATGCAGTGTAAAGGCACCTTGTTGTTGTTGCTTTTGGCAGCAGTAATAATAATAATAATAATAATAATAACAGTAATAATAATCCTTGCATTTGACACAGTGCCTTTCATTTCACATCAGGAGGACATCCCGAAAGCGCTTCGCAGGATTCACTGTAAAGCATTGTGACCGTGTGTTTTGCGGCGGCCGATTTGCGCACCGCGATGTCCCCCAAACAGCCGTGAAGTGAGTGTTTTATTTGGTGGGGGTGGGTGGGGGGGGCGATTGTCGGCAGGGACACCACGAGAGAGAGAAAGAGAGAGAGAGAGAGAGAGAGAGAAAGTCCCTTCGCTTTCGGAACAGCCCCGCGGTAGATCTTTAACGTCCACCTGGACAGGCAGACGGGGGAGTGGGGTTGGTTTAACGTCTCACCCGAAGGACGGCATCTCCGACAGTGCAACACCCTCCCCCGCACCCCCCACCACCACACCACCAGAGCTGCGTCGGAGGCCCAGCTCAGACTCTGTGTGATTCCGAGTCCCGATGGACAGGCGGGCGGCGGGGGTGGAGGGTGGGGGGGCGGGGAACCCACAAACTTCTGACTCAGAGACTAAGGTCCCACCGAGAGCGCGAACAACTTGGATATTTGCACAGCGCGCTTCAGGCGATGGCAGTGTCTCGGAGTGTGTTTAACAGTGACCTGGCCAACTGAGCCAGGAATAACACACATCATCTTGCACCCTCTCCCCCCCCCACACCCCCCCACCCCCAAGCATTTCTCCTACCTTTAATTTCTGGACCGATTTGTTCTCTTCCGGCTCTTTGCTCCACACTGTGGTGCCTCCTTTGTTGTACTGGACCGTCCATCCTTGATGCTCTTCACACTGCTCACGGAACGAGTTGAAGTGAGAGTCATCTGGGATCTGTACGATCTCACCCCTGGACATTCTGCGGAGAGAGAGAGAGAGAAAAGAGGGAGAGAGGGGGAGAGAGAGAGAGAGCGTGGAGAGAAGAGGAGAGGGAGAAAGAGAGAGAGAAGACCTCGTGTGCGTGTGCGCGTGTGTTTAACACTTCAAAAAAATCAGCAAGCAAAAAAAAAACACTTTAACACAGGGATTTCCAGTTATTGATGCTTCTTCCCTTCAGTTCAATCCACTCTCTCTGTCTCTGTCTGTCTCTCGCCGTCTCCCGGGCTTCGGTTTCCAAAGATGATAAATCCGCTCAGTTTCTGGAGTCTTTGGCTCCTAATGAATTGCCTCCGTATTTATATTCTTTCGTTGCTTTCTTCTTGATTCCCTTTGGGATCCGTTTTCCACACTCCTTCAATTTCTCTCTCTCTCTCTCACTCTCTGTCTCTGTCTGCAGATCCCAGTCTCTCTCAGTCGTGCGATTTGCCAAGAAAGGTTCATGAAATTGACATAAAAAGTCCTGTAACGTTGGATGAAATTGAGTAGTTTTATATAGATATAAATTATATATTATATAATATATATATATATAGAGAGAGAGAGATCTATTGCTGGCTTTCCCCCCCACCTCCTCTCCAAAAAAAATCCACCTACACAGACACACACACACACACACACAACACAGAAATATACAGAAACTAAAAAAAATACTCCTTTTCTGGAATTAAAAGAGACACAAGAAATAGGGATCGTGTCCATCGGTCACTGCCGGCGACTGAACCGATCTCCTTTGCTTGTGTTGCCTTGTCCTGTCTTGTTTCTCTGCTGTTCAGTGTCTTCTCAGTGTCTCTGCTATTGTGATGTGTTCCTGTGTCTGTGAGTGTGTGTGTGTGTTCTCTCTCTCTTTTCTCTCTCTCTCTGGGGCATAAGGTGATCAGTGAACCAAACACACACACACACCCGCGCGAAGAAATAGCCCGGAAGTGCAGCTGATTAATTCAGACACTATTATTTTCCCCACTCACTCAATGCCATAATATTCCCACTCCACCCCCACTCCTCGCTCCAAACCCTTTACTTTTTTTTTTACAGTAAACGTCTGGTAAGCGGCCACTCTGAAAGGGGAACGAGGGCTGAGTGACGAGTTAACAGGAGTGGCGAGTTAGACCTCTGTTGCAGGTAGAGAGATATGTAAATAAATGCAGCCACGATACCGACGACATGATGACTTGAGCGTTAATGACAAGTTATAAGAAGGGGTTCGGTCAGCAGCGTTTTACTGACTGTGCCAATAATCCTTAGCTATCGTAATAGTGTGTCGGCCTGGCTCAGGGGGTCAGGCTCTCGCCCCCCGAGTCAGATAGATGTGGGTTCAAGCCCCCCAAGTCGGGTCGGTGAAATCGCGCAGTCCTAAGGCTGACACTCTGGCTGTTTGTGTGTGTGTGTGTGTGTGTGTGTCCTTCAGACGGGACGTTAAACCGAGCTCCCGCTCTGTACCTGTTCTGGCGGACGCTAAACATCCCACCGCGGTATTCGAAAAGGTGTCCTGTGAAGCGCTTTGAAACGTACTCGGCGACATCAAACGTAAGGATTTTTAATAAAATTCAAATGGCTATCTTTGCGACGTGGGTTTAGCTGGTTAGCCTCCAGCAGCTACCCCAACGCACACACTCTGGGCTCCCACCAACCCCCCCCACAACCCAAAAGCCTTGGCTCTCGCCCAACCTGAGCCTAATACTCTCCGGAATTAGGTAAGCTGGAGGCGAGAGAGAGATCTCCACGTGTAGGTGTGGGATGTCTTTAATTCTCAGTTGGGTTCGGATTCCCTTAAGCAACGGTGATGGGTTTTCACGCGTGTGTCGGACCCACTGAGCAAAAAAAAAACACAGAGCATTGAACAAATAAGTAAATAAGTAAAGAAATAAATTGATGCCATCGATTGAGACAATGACGCTCAGATCCGTGGACACATTGTGGACACACACCCACGCACAGCTTTAAATTGTAACTGGATATTTCAGGCTGCAGTGCAGTGGGTTTCTCCGCAGAACTCACTGCAGATTACCATTAACACTGTACGTTCTACGCTTTGCCCTGAAACTGCTGCCTCTGCCATTCCTCCGCTCTATCTGCTGAGGAAGGAAATTTCTCTCTCCAGGACGACAATCTCACCTGGACTTAAAAACCACAACAAAAAATCCCCCATCGTTCACTTCACGGCTGTTTCAGGACGACAACCCCAATCCTCCCGTTTGACGCAACACCTTAGCGTGGGGTCCAAACGTCTCGAAGCGCTTCACGCGATGCACTGTAAAGTGGAGTGACTGTGCGTTTCTGAGGGCCAAAGCGTGACAGCCAATTGCGCGCAGCAGTCCGTGTCCAATTCCATTCCATTCCAACGATCTACCTCTGGGATTTCCATGGAATGCAATTCTCAGTTTGGTTTGGAGACTCTTAAGCAATGGTGATGGGTTTCCGCACGTGTCAGACACCCCCGGGGCTGATCCCCCAGCATTCCCCCCCCCCCCCACTCCCCCCAAAAATTCAAAAGCTCTTGTCCCGAAATAGCACAGAGAGGCTTTGCACATTCTAAAGTGCGGACCTGTTCTGTGTGAATAATTGACGAGCGGAGGTGCAGAGGGGAGACAGAAATATCATTCATAACCGGGGTTTTGTGAACCGGCGCAGCAAAGTGCTCTCAGTGTTAGTATAAAATCAACATTTGTTATAGCCCAAGGGAGGGGAGGTCTGGTATTTCTGATCTGGTAATAATAATAATAATAATAATCCCCGTATTTGATACAGCGCCTTATCACGTCGTTGAGACGTCTCAAAGCTCTTCACAGAATACATAGTAAAGTCTAGTGACTGCATTTTGTGGGCGCAACGCGGCAGTCAATTGCGCACAGCAGCGACCCCACAGACAGTCGTGGATCGAGTGACCGCATTTTTTTTCGAAGGGATTATTACCTCCGGAAAGCAATCGGCCGGAGGGAGGGAGGGAGAGACGGAGGGAGAGACGGAGGGAGGGAGAGACACTCTCTTCTCTTTTGGAGTAAAGTCTTTAACGTCCACTTGAACAGGGCACAGACCCCCGGGGATCTGGGTTTAACGCCTGAAACAGATTAAGATGAAGCGGGGTTTGTCGGTGTCAGTTCGCCGCCTCCGATCGCGCGGTATTACAGTCCAGCAAGTCAGCTCGATTCCCGTTGACTGAACTACATCATTTATCAATTAATTGGATTTTTTTTTGGTATTCTCTTAAGCGAACGTAACTCGTTAAAACCAGCTGTGAGACCACTTTTGAGACGGGATGAATTATTCAAACGCTGGCCCAGAAAGGCTCCTCCGCTCACCTCGGGACGCGAAACAGATTTCAGTAAAAGGAGAGAAAGTTTTCTCTGAGCGAAGAAATAGTTTATTTATTAAATGGCTCAGTTCGCTGACTTTGCCTTTAATCTGCACGCGGTTTAGGGTCGAGAATGCGACGTTTCATAACAGAACTGTTATAATAATACTAATAATAATCCTTGCATTCGATACAGCGCCTCATCACGTTGTTGAGACGTCTCAAAAGCGCTTCGCGGAATATGACTGTAAAGTGGTGACTGTTTTATTTTGTGGGCGAAACACCAGGGGAAAGAGAGAGAGAGAGAGAGAGACTTGCACGTCTTATCGAGTCAGATCTTTTTACGTCCCACCTGAAAGTTTCTCTCCCCCCTCCGGTTTTCCTGGCTTTTCCTGGTTTTCCTGTTCGTGGGACGTCGCTGTGTGCGAATTAGCATCCGCCGCCAAAATACACACAGGCACTACACTTTCGAGCAAAATCGGGAGATCAAATGCAACCTCTCTCAAATAATAATGACTATTGTTATCATCATCGTCGTCGTCGTTGCCCAATTAATCCTGGATAGAGATGGAAATGGGCAGCGACGCTGTCCTCTCGTGGCTGAAGGTGGCAGCACATGCATTTCTGGATCAGTGCCTTTCAGACAGAGACAGCCCCCACCCCCCACCCACACCCCCACCCCGGCTATTGTGTGGGTTCAAGCCCCACGTCGGGCTGACCCTCCAGTGCAGTGCTGGGGGGGAAGAGCGCTGCATCGCACCAATGGTTTACGGGGGTGGTGGGGAGATATTGGTGGGGGTGTGTGTGTGGATCTGTCCCGAGGATCTCACCTGTGTGAAGGGGGCCGCTGGGTGAAGCCAAAGGCAAGTTGTTTTGCGGTCCGACCCCCGAGTGTAGTGACTGTCCGGGTGGCCGGTCTGCAGGTGAACTCTCCCCGCACCCAGTCACGGCAAACGTTCCGCTTATGACTAATTCAGCAGCTCTCTCAAATTCCCCGTCTCAGAAGCCGGATTGAATTCAGCTCGCGGGCGATGATTGGAAGAAACGTGATCGTCTTGGCCTGGTTTGGACGTGGCAAACTTTAGCCGGGAGACGGCGGGGGAGGGGGACAGGGGGAGGGGGTGGGGGGAGGGAGAGAGGGGTGGGAGGGCGGGCGGGTGGGTGGTGGTGGGGGGTGGGGGGGAAGGAGGAAAGGCAGACCATTCAGTGAGGTGTTGCCCAGACCAGAGCGGAAAGGGAGTGAGAGAGGGAAGCAGGTGGAGCGCTAGTGTTTTAAACGCGTTCACCAGAGGATAACAGGATTCACAATCAGTCGGCGCACTGCACACACTGAAACGTCTCAAAGCGCTTCGCAGGGCTCACTGCGCGAGTGTAGTGACTGTGTGTTTAGTCGGCACAGCCGGCAGTCGAGTTGAGCACGGCGACATTCCAGCTGTGATGTGACCAACCCATTGGATCTGGGGCACCAGGAGAGAGAAACTCAGGAGGAACACGGGAACAGGAGGAGGCCATTCAGCCCCCTCGAGCCTGTTTCGGAGCACAAATAGAGCCACCGCAGGAAAAATGCTTGGCCTTCCCAACTTCAATTGGGAAGGGTTTCTATTGCACATCAACACCGCTCCCCTGTGGCGGAAGAAGGCAGTGCAGAAAGTTATTGATCATGATAATAATAATAATAATAATAATAATAATAATAACAATCCTTGCATTTGACACAGCGTCTTCGAGACGTCTCAAAGCGCTTTCGCGGGATACGCTGTAAAGTGAGTCGACCGTGTACCTTGTGGGCGAAACGCGGCAGCCGGTTGCGCTCAGCGGCGTTCCCCGCACAAACAGCCGTGGATTGAGTGACCACTTTATCACTGGGGAATTCTAAGCACATTGGAAGCAGCAGCTGGACACAGGTTAGTCACCGCCCGAATCCAGCTGTCTTAATCAGTAATTGGGCCCTCACACAGTCTACAGTCAATCTGTTCTGCACAGCCCGGGGCACGCACGACTGCTTTTTGCTGCTCTGCACAATCGCTGAGGGAATGAAAAGATATCTGAACCATTGACGCCTCTTATTAAGGAATTCTAGACACCGCACGGGCGAAACTTATCATCATCTGAAAGGGGGACAATCCATCCCGCCAGGCTTCCTCTCGAAGTGTCTCCCTGACGATCACCCGCCCGCCCACCCACCCCCGAGGTGAGATGCAATGATTGTCACTTTTATTATTAATGGAAGACGTTAATGGTTGATAGCCGGGGACAAGAAAACTGATCGAGCGCAGTTAACACTGAATTTAACTGAATATTTTGCTGATAGTAATTCTAATTATTGTTGTCCATCCTCGCATTCGATATAGTGCTGGATCACATCATCGGGACGTCTCAAAGCGCTTCAAAGGACGCACTGTAAAGTGGAGTGACTGTGTATCTTGTGGGCGAAACGCTGCGGCCAACGTGCGCACAGCTGTCTCCCCACGAACAGCCGTTGAGTGAGTGATCAATTTTATTTGGGGGGATTGTCAGGACACCAGGAGGGAGAGAGACTCCCTTCTCTTTTCCAACAGCTCCGCGGGATCCTTAACATACACCTGAACAGGCAGACGGGGAGTTGAGGTTCAACGTCTCCTCCGAAGGACGGCATTTCCGACAATGCAACACCACCCCCCACCCCTCAGCGCTGCATTGGAGCCTCAGCTTAGACTATGTCCCTATTTACTGAGCTCATCCCCTCGTCTCTGCAACCATTGCTTCGCACTGTGAATACACAACCTCGTCTCTGGAGGCAAAACTGAGAACTTAACGCGGAAACTTACACAGGAGAGATCAGGACTGTTTGCAAGGCCCCTGGTTCCCCTATCTCCCTCCCTCCCCTCCCACTCCTCCTCCCGGTTACGAAGCAGTGTGTGTGTGTGTGTGTTAAATCATTCCTCAGCTCACTGTTAAATCGTGTACAGTACCAGGCAGAAACTGCGAAATAGCTATAAACTCATAATGCGAGCGTTTACTGCCAAAAAAATTATCACCGCTGTTACATCTACCCATACGCTCGCGAAAAACCAATAAGAAAATGGAGCTCCCTTGTGCCTGAGTGATTAATGCACTTGTCTGCTGTATACTTTTTATGGCCTGTAAACCCTCGAAACTGAGAAGAAACCATGAGTCAGCTATCCAGGTCATAACATTTACTGTGGATTCGTTTTTGGCGGAGGTTCTGATTGAAGGGCTTAAGTTTAAGTTCTTCATTCCCACTCCGTCGCAGAGCTCCATCTCTCTCCTCACCCCCTCAGTGCGCCCACACTGACGTAACTCTCCTTATTATTAGTACCCGGGGGCATACTGTGACGCTCAGTGTGGCCAGGGATTCTTCCCACTCAGCTCCTGTTAACCCTGCAAGACAAAGTACCGACAACTTGCATTTATATAGCACCCTTCACGCAGAGGAGGTTCTCGGATCGCTTAACAATGGCGGATCCTGATGCCGAGCTGGGGTGGGGTGGGGTGAGGTGGGAAGGGAAGGGAGGAGGTGACCATAAGCACAGTTGAAGAGGAAGGTCTTCAGTCATGATCTAAAAGAGGGAAAGGAAGGGGTTCATGGCAGCGGGAATTGGGGGAGAAAGTTCCAAAACTTTGGGGCGTAGAAAAGAAAGCAGGTCAGAGAGGTAGCGAGATAGGGTGGTCCATGACGGACAAGCGGAGGAGAAGCTTGCCGGACAAGCTGAGGGGGGGGTTTAGCTGGTTTAACCCCAGCAGAACCCAACGCACACTCTGGGGTCCCCAAGTCTTGGTTCTGACCAACCTGCGCCTAACGCTCTCTGTAAGCTCTCCGAGACACTGTATGAAGGGTGCTATATAAATGCAAGTTGTTGTTGTTGTTGGTGGTGGTGGTGGTGATGAAATTTGCTCACCATTGCACATGGGTGTATTCTGTCCCGGTTGGATACTCTCAAACACGGTGATGGGTTTCCACATGTCAGGCTGACCGCAAACAAAATGTCCTGATTGCCCTTCAAACAAGAGCTTCTTCTCAAATAAACCCTCACACTTTGCCGTTTGTCCCCCTTTGCAGCTGAAGACCCTTAAATAATGCACGAGGGGCGCTACATAACTGCAAGTTGTTGTTAAATACAAGGGGTGTGTGGGTGGGGGGGGAAGAGCAGGTAAATGAGACTGAACGGATCACTCTTGAAAAGAGCTGACACCGACACAATGGACCAAATGGCCTTCTTCTGTGCTGTACATTTCTACGGTTCTATTTTTATGTGAACAATAAAATCAAGCCTCGATTTCCTCTCTTTCCATAGGTTTTTGTTCCGCCTGCCAGCAGATATTTCCAATGCCATCATTTCCCTTTCTCTCCTCTCCTGCCAGTTATTTTTTTTTTTGTTGTTTGAGTCCTTTATCCTTAACAATAATAATGATGATGATAATAATAAAGATTATAATAATCTTTCAACTTGATACCGAGCCCATAATAGCGAACGTCTCGAAGCACTTCACAGATAATTGCAGTGGAGGGTTACGATGACGAGTGTGTTTTGTTGGCAACCGATTTGGCACAGCTGTGCTCCCGCAAACACTCGTGAGGCGAGATCGAGAATGAAAGATTTATCTGAAGGATTGTTGGCCAGGACCCAGGGTGGAGACTCCCTTCTCTTTTCCAATGGTGTCGAGGGATGCTTAACCTGAACCGAGGCAGACGGGACCTTGGTTCATCTCATCCCAAGCACAAAGGTTCCTCGCTGTTAGTCACCCTGTGGTCCTTGGCCCACTTGACCATTGTACAAGTGGGAGCCTTCGTTCGAGAGTATTTACAAGGCCATGAGTGGCGGGGCAATGCCGACAAGCCAATCCTGTCTGCCACTTGATAGCCACTTACTCACATCCAGCAGGGGGCGGTGGAGAGCAACCCCAATCCAACAACAACAACAGCAGCGCCCCTCACGCAGGGTAGGGGCCCAGAGCCCCTGTCATTACCGTCGTTGTCTGAGTCACAAGTGGAACGCAGTGCAGCCGTTCGGCAAGAAAGGAACAGGAGAGAGAGAAAGAGAGAGAGAAAGGAGCGTTGAGCTGGTGAGGAGTTTATTTGAGGAACTGGCCTGGACTTTTTCCATCGCTTACGCTTGGTTTTGCTGAAGTTGGGTCTTGATGTCCTGTTGGGTCAGCGGCTGGACAAAGTGGAAATATTCCAGTAGGTTGACCTTGACCTCGCGGTGGAAGGGGTTAGAGAGGTGGCCAGCTGTCACCCGCAGGTAACTCAGCTGCTTGTAGTTCTTTGTCTCAAACGTGGTCAGATTCGCCATTGCGAGGAGTAACTGCAACACAAATGGGGACGTTCCCTGACAACCAGTTGCGCCCCAACGATGTCCCGCAAACAGTCGTGGTTCGAGTGACCAAACTATTCCTCTTATTATATTGTCACTAACTTACGATTCTATATTTTTTATATGTCTCTCAATGCGTGGGAGACACCAATATTATTATCAATGTAATAATAATGATTGCATTTGATAACGTTGTCTCAAAAGAGCCCCACTGGATCTCGCGGTAAGGTGTAGTGACTGTGTGTGTGTTTGTGTGTGTGTGTGGCGGGGTGGCGGGGTGGGGGGGGTGTTGTTGTGTGCGCGGTGGGGAGAATATTAATGTACTCACAGTGTAGAAGACTCTTAGAGATAAGACTGTGGCAATCAGGACCAGAAAGAGGACGGTGATAAAGAACATGGCCTGGAATCCAAACTTGCGGAGCCACACCACTCCGAGGAAAGATATCACCCAACAGTTCCAGGCAAACAGCACCAGGAACAGGAGGAACAGTCCTCTGAGCGCGGAAAAGCAAGAGTTAACATTTTTTGCGGCTGAGAGTCCGTCGTGAGGTTTCGTTTGAGTTGAATTTGCCCGCGTTGGGGTGTCGTCTTATGTACTGCCGATACATAATCCTGGCGCGCGCGTGTGTGTGTGTATATACACATATACACATACACATGTACATATACATAGGCACACACACACACACAAGCACACACATAATGTACACCCACACAGTCACACATAGAAAAGCAGACACATACACGCTCACACACACACACACATCACAACTGTGCCACGGAGGCATGCGTTGGCGCAGTGGGAAGCGCAGTGGGAAGCACTGACCTGTTGTTGTAGCCTATGGTGTTGGACACTATGGGGCAGTAGCGGTCGAAGGCGGCCACACAGTGGTTGGTAACGCTGCAGTGCTCTGCTCTGAGTGGTCGGAGCAGCTGACACTTGTGGCACAGGGGCCCCAGCGCCGACCTGCCTGTGTCCTGGTCACTGTCGATGACCTGGAACACAAGGCACTCACGTAGGGGCAGGAGGAGGCCATTCAGCCCACCCAGCCTGTTCTGCCATACCAATCCCAACGCCTGGTCTCTATCTCCTCTGTCTTCCCTCCCCCACCCCTCCTGCTCTTCACCAAGGTCCTGAGGCGCAGTGGTTAGCTCGCTCGCCTCGCAAGCTAGAAGACCCGGGTTTGATTCCCGACACGGCGAAACATTGGGCAAATTTCCTTCCTGCATCTGCCTCTGCGCGCAATTCTCCCCAAAACACAGTCAATTGATTGTCCAGTGTTCTCTGTGTAAACGTCTCCGCTTTGAGACGTCTGAATGAGGTGATAAGGCGCTGCGTCAAATGCAAGGACTGTTGGTGGGCGACTCTCACCTGCTTCATGACCAGGTTGTACTGCTCTGTGTAGCAGGGCAGCTGTCCGGGGTTAGACAGTGCCGATCTCAGGTAGAAGAACCACATAGCGACGTTACTGAGGATGAAGGTGGTGTGAAAGCCAAGGTGTCCATCCCAGCCCAGCGACGTGACCTGCACTAACACAGCAACCGGTCAGTCGCACACAACCTTTCTGTCATTTCTGTCGGAATCCCGCAGCTGAGTGGTCAGAGCACTCGCCTCGCAAGCGAGAGGACCTGGGTTCGATTCCCGGGTGGGTCAGGGAGAAGAGTTGGGCAACACTCCCCTGTATACCCAGAAGTAAGTAGGAACTCAGTTGTTAGTCGATTGGTGGATCGCTTTTCCCGAGAGTGATAATTCCTTCCAAAAAAATTTCTAATAATAAATTGGTCACTTCAATCCATGACTGTTTGTGGGGACGCTGCTGTACGCGATTGGCTGCCAAGTTTCACTCACAAAATACACAGTCAATTCACTTGACAGTATATTCTGTGAAGCGCCTTGAGACGTCTCGAAGTCACGATAAGGCACTCTATTAAATACAAGGATTATTATTATAATAATTCATGAAGAGGAGTATGTTTCCTTACCCTAAAGATTATTCACGAGATCAATTCATCACTTGTCTCGCTCAGTGAATTTTAAGTCCCTGTAACTGAATTGATATCTATGCAGTGGATAGATTCCTCAACCATTCCTGTTGCACGGTATTTAGCGATGTAAATCCAATTTGTTAAATTTGAAGATTATTCAGAGATAAATCTAATTAATTGCGCTAAAGATTGAGTCAGATGAAGGCTATTAAAATATTTACTCTGATTACTGTCTCCTGTCTAGTCTGAAGATGACTTAGTAAAAAAATATGAATTCCCTCTTTGTCCTCTGACATCAATTCAACATTTCTTCCATTTGTTCTTAATGGGATTTGGAGCACAGTGTCTATGAATAATGGTGTAATTATATCAGAGATCTCTCACATTACAAGGTCATTCTTCAAGGCTTTAACAATAGTCCTGAGTGAGATTTACTGAACTGTACTTAGCAAGTGCTACTCAATCATTCCGTTCAATGAAGACAAGTTGGTTTTCCATGAATGCTCAGTCGTGATATTATTGGCTGCCTCCGAGACTCGCGTTGTCCGAGCACTTGTATTACTACCCTGAGGTATTGTTGAGTAAAATACCATTCAGTGCCTTGCCCTGGGGTTCAATGATAGCCTGGCTCAATTGGTAGCACAACTCGCATCTGGGTCAGACACCGTGGAGTTAAACCCCACATCGGGGACTTTGAGCTCGCGGTCTCGACTGACACTTTAAGTGTCGTGCTGGGGTGCGTGGGGGTGGGGGGGGGGGTTGGGGTGGGGGGGTTTGAAATGAAGCAAATATATTTTGTGAGACAATGTTCTGGGCCCATTTTGACGGGAGCTCCTGCTTACAAATACAGTCACTACACTTGACAAAAGTTCCCCGTAAAGCCCTTTGAGAGGTTTCTACATTATAGAGCTGATTGATGGAATCCTACAGCGCAGGAGGAGGCCATTCGGCCCATCGTGCCTGTGCCGGCTCTTTCAAAGAGCTACCAACTGCTCCCCGCTCACCCCCCCCCCCCCGCTCTGTCCCCGTAGCCCTGCAATTTTTTTCTTTTCAAGTAAATATCCGGTTCCTTTAGTGAAAGTTATGACTGAAGCCGCTTCCAACACCCTTTCAGGCAGTGCATTCCAGATCGTAACAACTCAGTGCGTTAAAAAAAAATACTCCTTCTGTGGGTATTAATCTACTGCTTACCATAGAGAAGTACATGGGATATCCCCAACCCCAAATAATCAGGAAATAGATCACCACAGCGACTCTGTTCCGCTTCTCGGCATCAAAGATAAAATCGCTTGGAAGATAAAAAGGGGAAATCAATATTAGAATAGCGAAAACTTCCTCTTTATTGTCCTACCCGTCGCTCATTCACTGCACAGCCCTTTTGTGGGGACGTCGCAATGGGCAAATTGCCTGCCGCCTCTGCCCACAAGACGACATACAGTTACTACACTCGATAGAATATCCTGTGAAGCGTTTCAGGAGGAGGCACTATTCGAACGGAGCAGGGAGTTTTTCTCTCTCCCGGTGTCGTTCATTTCACGGCTGTTTATGGGGTGCAAATTGGCTGCCGCGTTTGCCTCCAAAAATACACAGTCACCGCACTTCACAGTAAAATCCCGTGAAGCTTTTCGAGATGTCTTCCCGACATGTCGGCCTGGATCGTGCGAGCTCCGAATTCCTAACAGGAGGGCTCGAAGCCCCACAGACTCACAGAGCGGCGAGAGTGCTGGAACAGAAATAATGCTAACTATCAAAGGGGAATTGAGGTTGAATAAAGGCTACGTGAATAGAGTAAAATCCAGAGCCAGGTGGCATTTCTCTCCCCGTTGATCCTGGCGTTCTTTGCCTTGTTTATCTGATTGCGGAATGCATTAGATCCTCGCTCTGTTATTCCTCCCCACCCCTCCCTCCCACCTTGAACCATGAAAAGAATTAATAACTGGTATCCTTGAATCAAAGGAGACATATGGCTAAGGAACATTGCTCGCTGAGTCGAATTTCAGATCTGGTTATCAGTCATTCTGGTATTTATGTAGGTTCCTATTGCGAAATTGACAATAGAGCTAAACTTGATAGTTTTGGCAGTAAATTATTTCCAAATGCTGTGCAGGTTTGCTCAGATTTTTTTTTTTAACATGATAAATAGTGACAGAATTCCTGTGTTGCGAGAGTTTTGGCCTCGCTATTATCATTCATCAACATCCAGCTAGGGGTCATAGAGAAGTAATGGTCACTAACCACATTATCAGAGACAGATAGCTGCATTCTCCAGATGATAAATCTATACTAGGACAAATATCAGCGTGTTTCTCCGCGTTGCAGAAAGCATTCGTCTCCTTCTGATCGCTTTCATTCAGTGGCTCGGTTTCCAGATCGCAGAAATCCTGTAGAGAGCGCGAACGAGAGAGAGAGAGAGAGAGAGGGAATTTCATAGAATCGTAAAATCTTTCGCCCACAAAATATATTCGGTGAAGCGCTTTGAGACATCTCGAAGATGTGATAAGGCGCTATAATATATTAATAACAATTCTTGCTTTTGATATATCAATACGAAATGGAAGGATTATTATTATTATTATTACTACAGCACAGAAGAGGCCATTCGGCCCATCGATCCTGTGCCAGCTCTTTGAAAGAGCTGCCAACTAATCCCACTTCCCTGCTTTTATCCCATGGTCCTGCAATTTTTTCCTGTTCAAGTACCTAACCAACTGCCTTTTGAAAGCGACTATCGAATCCACTTCCACCACAAAATTCTCCTTGTCTCCCCACTGGTTCTTTTGCCAATTATCGTCAAGAATTAAAGAGTTTTAGAGAGGTGTGGAGTACACAGTTCTTTGGAATATTGTCGGTGAAATTTGAAGTAGGGGGGACGGAGGGGATGGGGATGGGGAGGGATGACGACACAAGTGATCCAATAGAAAATCCTTCAGATGGTAACCTTGATAGAGGTGAGATGAGTGCGGGAGTGACCTGGGAACACTGCAGGATAGAATTTCGGAGCGTGGGGTACAGAATGGCTGAAAGCTCGACCACCGTTGGTAATGGGAGTGGGTAAGGAATTTGCCGACGACTTCTGATCTGCACAAAGCTTCTCCAGAAGGAACCTGTGTCCAACGTGGGGCCCTATTCGATGAAAGCGCTTGATAATTTTCCTGAAAAATGATCAATCAAATCAATTCGGCTTTAATTCGCCATCCCTCCAGGGTAGCGTTGGACAGTCTACTTCGCATGGAGAACCTTTCTCTCCGCACATTTCTGCGCTCATCAATCCAGTTGCTTCTCCTATTTTGTCTGTTTTTAAGGACGAGCCATTGCGCGCTCAGCTCGATGATCAACGTCGCCCCACAAATATACAGTCAATTCACTTTACAGTATATTCTGTGAAAGGCTTTAAGACATCTCGAAGATGTGATAAGGCGCTGTATCAAATGCAAAGAGTATTTTTATAAACAACGCCAGAAAGGGCGAGACGGAGAGAGAGAGAAAGAAAGAAAGAAAGCTCTTCTGCGAATTTGAAGTGATTTGTGGGCAACTTCTTGTCTTCAGCCTATTTAGGATAGCTTCTAAGAACGCTAAGGGACTGATCTGTAATTATCCTGCTTTCTTTCTAATATCTCTAGTGACAATGCAATGTCATTTCGGCTTGTCTTCCAATGTTAATGCTATTTGAAATGATGAGAGCTGTTGGCTTTCATTCTATCCTTGGTGGTTCCTTTAATTATTCAGCATAATACAACCTAACTCCCTTGGAAAATAGTTTACCCTCACGGTTCCTAACGTTTTGAAATTGGTTTACACAATACACGGAATTCATTAGAATTCCTTCTCTTTTTTTTTAACAGAAACCTCCGGCTCCAATCAATAAGTCCCATTAAGTGCTACCGTCGAGAGTTTGGTCTTGGTAGAATAATTAAATTGGATCTGAAAAGATATTAAAAAAAAACAAAACGAAATTAATTTCTCTCTTTCTTTCTCCCTCCCTCTCCCTCTCTCTCTCTCTCTCTCTGTTGTTGCACTGTGCGTTGCCAATCCAGTTCATTTCTCAGTGTATTAGGAGTTGTACTAATCAGCCTAGCGATGTCTCTTTCAAGATCCCTTGTTGTGAGATAGTTTAGTGAAGCGCTACGGTCCGTAGTGTTGGACACCATCTATGGACAATCGAGCTATCTCAAGACGTGGCTTCTTTTTGCTCCATTTAGCATTTATCAATGGGTTCTTGTGCTTTTCTGCTTGGGTTTCAATTCTTCCCAGGAGCTGCTGTTAAGTCTTATCACTGAACATTGTACCATACTTGGGAAGCTTATCCAGCGATCTGCCCTTTAATTGCAAGTTTAATTGGCTCTTAGTTATTTGATGGCCAACACTGCTGGCACTCATTTGGAAGTTTCACATCACTGAGATCTACAATCTTTTCCTCCTGTTCGATTGGTGTCACTTTCAGAATGAAATCATTTCCAGATGCCATTAATATGT